CCCAAAGAACTGAAAAGCTTTTCAGTAAGCTGTAAGAATAATCTCTGCTTAATAACTGAGGCCTAAAAATTCTAGTTTTAATCCCAGTTTCACTGAATTTCCTCATGGGGGGTGTGTGTGTGTGTGTGTGTGTGTATATATATTCCGCTTTCTGTCCTGAATCGTTCAGTTTCTTTGTAGTTGTATTGTTTATGATGATAAGCACATCAGCAGAGGAGTGATACCAAAGGCTGTAATGTAGACAGGATTCATGCATATATCAGAGCAGTTGTGCCAGACATCTTGAAGAATGAAAAATATCTTTCCATTGGCTAGATTCATGCTATCCTGAAGTTTTCCTTCATGCTAGGAACCCATTTCTACACAAGGTTATAGGCTGTAAGACTTGCTTCTTCCACATATTTCATGTGGGAGAACAGTAAAATAAACAGTCCCAAATTAAGTCTTGGTTTTTTTCTCACAGGAAGACTTTGATTTCTTAAAATTAATAATTTTGAAAAGGAGGAATACTACACAGAAGCATTTCTTTCCCAAAATGCTTTCATGTATATATGCAAAATGAGAATGAAAGAACAATATTCTGTGGGGGGAAAAAAAACTGGTCTGGTTCTGATGTTCCTTTTTTTTTTTTTTTTTTTTTCTCCCTCCCTATCATCCTTCAACCAATACTTGGCCATGCAGGTTTTAGATGCAAGTTTACCAGTACCTGATGTTAACGAAGACAATTTGGAGCATGATGCCTCACCACAGGAGCCCCAACAGCCCGGAGCTGTTACAGCATCTCAGGAGCTGGATGGGCAGCAGCCAGAGGTGGCTTCACCCCCCCAAGAACCACCCGGAGAGCAAGCAGAGGCTGCTGGAACAAACGGTAAGTAAAAAACTGTGTTCAGCGGACAGATCGTAGAGGCCTGGATGCTAAATGGAGTAAGAATTTGAAATGGGGCTCAACTAGCTGTCTCCTAGTGAACAGGTAGCTACTGAAGTGATCTCTTGGTTGCTCAAGTGCTTCTTCCAGGGCGTTGTTGGGACATGTTTTCTCTGTAGCAGAGTTTGGATGACAAATGGGTTGTGGATTGAAGCTGTCAGTGTCAGTGGTGGGGGATGCTACCCATTCCCCCTCAGGGGTGGTTCTCTGCTCTCCCTGCACCCTGCGATGCCTCCGCTTGCCTGCTGCCAATCTCTCGACCATTCACCTGAAGGAACAGCTCAGTTTCCACTTCTTATGTTAGGAGTTTCTGCCGCATAGGCCTGTCTCTTCCTTCACAGGGCAGAAATCCTTTTATGTTCATTCATTAGTGATGTTAATGATAATAAACTACTTTGAACTCACAGGAAGGGACAGGCTGCTGATCCGTTGGCTCTACCTGGATTAAGTTCCCTTTCCTACTGCTTTTAATCAGATTTGCATTCTGACCACAAAACGTTTCTCATCGTAGGCACCCCTGTCTGCGCTGTCCTGGGAATCTCTTTCTTGCCTTGCTGCACAGCCAGAAATGTGCTGCTCCTTCTCCTGTGCAAACTGGCAGCCCACCTCTCCGGCCCTCGTCAGCCTCTGGTTGCTGCCCCCTTCCCTCTGCTCCCCTTGGCAGCAGCAGTGAGAGATCCGCTCCGGGGATCCCGCTGCATGCTGACCTTTTTGGCAGGGGTGGCATGAGGGAGGGATAGCTTCCAGTCAGAGCAGGCAACTAATGCTGGTGTGAGAGAGCAGGGGAGGGATGGGGAAAGGGTAGGTACTGTTAAGTGGATAGGGATGGAGACAGGATACTCATTAAAGAGAGTCATGAAGGAAGAGAAAATACCCGATGATTTGAAGTAGTGTCAGAAGATTTCATGTTGGTATTCAGCTTCGGGATCAAATAACAGAGGCCTTTAAAAGGGCATGAATTTCAAGGTAATAGTCAAAGATTGTAATTCTTGTTGAATAATTCTGGGTTGTAGCTTCAGCTGTACAGAAATTGTGTTCCTAGGATGTGTCATGAAGAAGAGGTGAGAAGCTCCCTTCGAATGCAGATAGTTACGTGTGAGCAAATACATGATGTGTTGGGGACGTAGGTGGCATTAGGAACTCATAGGAGCGTAGATTGCCTGAAGAGTCTTTGCTTTCTTTGATAATCGTCTCTCTTGTGGTTGTGCGATGTTGCTGTTTTAATCAGGATTTATTTTACTGTTGTCAGTGGAACCAAGCCTACGTGGTAGCATAGTTTATGTGAAAGGGAAAACAATTCTACAGGTTTGCTCTCAAAGTAAAAAAGCCCTTGATGGAGGCAATGCAGCATGTATTTTATGGTAACAGTAGCTGAAAATGACATCATCCATAGAGACAAATAAAACCTGTCTGGTCAAGCATTGAAAAGAGAGTTCTTCAAGTAAAGACTACATTCAGATATTCATGACTGTTTATATCCACCCCTCTGGACCTTACAGAGTCTGGTCCACATGTCTTTAGGCAGATGAATAAAGGTGGGGAAGAGGTATCTCTTAAATGTTCCATGCAGAGAAATCTCTCCACATAGACAAATACATCATTTTAACTTTAGAATTCTTCATATTCCCCACTCATTCTTTAGACTTTGCAAACAAGATTAAATATAAAATCAGAAATAAAGCATCATGACACTGAGCAGTGAGGCAGCACTGCCTACAGTAAAGGAATGTTTGATTGAAGGTTTTTTGGGTTGGTTGGTTTGTTCTTCTTGTCATTATTTGAATCTTGCATTCAGAAGACCATTTGAGAGATGATCCAGACTCCATGAAAGTTGCCGCTATCGGATTAAATTAACTGGGAAGTCTGGTAATTTAACTGGGAGGTTGGTGCTGGCAGTCAGAGCCACAGACAGAGGCTGTGAGCGGCTGGCCCAGGTGTCTGTGTACCATCAAAACTTTGGAGATATCCAGCATGATCCATAGAAATATTGTTACTATAACAGGAGGTCACTTATATCGGACGCTGACCCTTTACATTTTATTTTATCATATTGCATCCCTTTTTACTAGCAGTAAGAGCCGCTGGAGCATTCCTTTACTATACTGCAAGTATCCAGAGTAATACCTTTCTGAAAGGCTTGACAGCGGAATTTGAGACAACGTATGATGTAATGAGGTTGTAGAGAATTCCAATTAAAAAAAAAAACCAAACAAAGGAAGACGGCAAAAAAAACCCAACCCGTGAGTGACTGCTAATAGGCAAAGGAGCAAACGTTTCGGTATGGAGAAACAGAAGTGTTGCGTGCGGTTTCCGTTTCTGAGGGGTAAGCCACTTCGGGCGTCTAACTAGCACCTGCTGAGGCCTGCTCTGGACACCGTGTGGCAGCCGCCCCAGGAAGGCTTCCCAGAAGCGGGAAGGAAGCGCTCCGTTGTTTAGGAAGTGGCATCTCCTCCCTTCGGAGGGGAAATAAAAAAGCGTAAACGCTTGAAGCGAAGGCCGCCCCGCCCCGCTCCGCCGGGCGAAGGCGTCTTCTCGTCGCCAGAGTAACTTCAGCGACGCTGGGGGCCGTGAACGGGTGAGGCGCGGCGGCCTCGCGGACGGGAGGTTGGGAGGTAAAAGGTCTGGCCTAAGGATCTGCATCACAGCGAGAACCGTGTCCGAGGGAAGGGCGCTGAAATTGTAGAGTTCCTTGTCGCCTCTGTCAGGCGTTTGACGTGGTGCTTGTAATACAAGGCTTTCGTAACTGTGAAGACGCTGGCGAGGTTTGCCCCCGCACTACCGGCCTATGACGTAGCATCCGAGATTGAGGAGCAGAACGAAAAGGTAGCGACTGTGTTGATGATGCTGTTTTGATAATCAAGATATAGTGCTATATGGTAGTCAAGAAATAACGCAGTAAAAGATCTTAGGAGCTAAACCTGGTGAAATTGAAGGAAATGTAGAAGCTGGCATAGTTTGTGTTGCAAAAATATTTGCATGAGAGAAACAAAGTTGTTATGCTATAGCTGTTTTAATTTTAATGAAGCACAATCCAGAGGAGATGAACACCGTGATGGGGGGGTGTCTGTGTCTGTGTGTGTGTCTGTGTCTGTGTGTGTGTCTGTGTCTGTGTGTGTGTACACGCGCGTGTGTGGCGGCAGGATCCCAGCCTGTGATACCAAAAAGCCGATGCTATGTGCATTGAACTCTGTACATCTTATTTAAGAAAGTAGCGCGTGAGCCGCTGAAGCGTGAGAGCTAACACCATAAACTAATTGGGCTTTCTGAAAAGACGATAGTATTCGGAGGAGCAAAAAATTAAAAGGAAAAAAAACATTATCTTGCACTGCTGGTTTGGCACAAACTTGTGCCTTTCTCTGGGAAACAAAGTGGCGCTATGAAATATAAAAAACCCCAAGCAAACCAACCCACTTTTTTCCTAAAGATAACTAATTTGCATCAGAATTTCTCACAGATTGATGATTATGTGTCTTTAGCAGTCTAGGATCTAAATTTTTTTTTATTTCATCATACTAATAATCATTTACTTTTTATTTTCTTTACCAGAGCTAGTGAAGGAATTCAACAAATACTGGGGGTTTATTCATGCGAAATACTTTAGCGTTACAATACATATTGACAACAAAGCCTGTAGAAGTCCGTCTCCGTTTGGAGCTGACCCTGGGGAGGACTGTACGTGATTTGAATCAGTTAGTAGGGGAGGAGATATCCTACCGCTGTTTACAATAGCGTTTTCATTAAACTCGATGTTTAATGGGCTTATCACATGCTGAGTCTTTTTCCTCAAGGGTTCTCTATTTTTTTAATTTCCTTTTATTGTTAGTAATTAAAGGTTAAACTGTTTTTCAAAAGCAATCTCTTTATAGGGTTGCACAGTTTGATCGTTTGAGGTTTTCCTTATTTAATAATTCTTGAGGAAACTTGGTTTTTCACCGCAGCACAACTGCTTCTATAGTACATTTTGCAAGAACTGCATCTAGCTCGTAGTGCAAGTTACCATTTCTTGGAAGGGACAGAGTACCTCTCCTTATTGGTATGCGGGAGTGTCTTAAGCTATCGTGTCTAATTCGTGCAGATGCAGCTATGTCTCCTTTGTGGTGAGTTTGTCTATGATGCTTATGTTACTCTTTATGCAGTCTTTTTGACAAAGAAGATTTTCAGTCTCTCTTTCGTTGTGCGTTTTTATGAATCATTAGGGGTTCTCAAAAATGTCACATTTACTGACTTATATTGCTTATCCTCTCCTTGTTCCTAGCAAAGCAGATTTCCCTCCCCCCCCCCAATACTCAAGTGTTAGTGCTACATCTGTCTTATGCTTGGTGAATACATTTTATTTTAAAAAGTGGAACCAAGTCACTGAATGTGAGACATGGACAGCATGGGTGACCATGACAATCCATAAATATTTGTAGCGTGCTGGTTTGGTTCCCAAGCAGAACAGCTGGACTGGTTTGAGAGCCATTTATTACTGTGATTTCATTTAATGAAGAATCTTTAACTACAGTAACTGTATATCCAAGCCATGGCTAATGACCCGTCTGGTTTAAAAATAAACAAAACAATTTTAGAGGAACTTTACTGGTTTTTTTGATTTTTAGTGCTGTTTCTTGAAACGTTGAAGTGAAAGAAGAAATATCTTGAAGTCCTGAATGAATGAAATGTATAACTTCCCTTGCTGGAATTGGAGAAGTTAGTCTCTAGGAGCAGACAAGTATAGCTAAAGCAAAAACTTCTAAAAATAAAAGGTTTGTGAGGAATGTTATAGCATCACAGCGGAAATGATTGTGCTTTCTTTTAAGTTACTTTCACATGAGGTTATGTGTGATGTCCTTTTCTGGGGACGTTGCTTTTGCTTTCTTAAAGAGTTCTAAGCCATGAAAAATTGCAGCTATTTTGCAACATTTTCCTTTTTTCTGTTTTTAAAAATGGACACAAAAGTCTGTGAAATTTTTAAACTTAACTCTTCAGTTGCCACCCAGAGAACTTAATGGTATTTGTTTTTAACGCTTTAAAAGAAGAACATGATTTGAAAGCCCATGAAGTGTGTGCATGCATTGTGAAATTTAGTATGCAAAAATGTCTGTAAATCCTCCCTCACTATTTCACTATTCTGAAAGAAACCCCTCTCCACAATCAACATGGCAAGTCAGTCCTTGGAAATAATTGAGTGAATAGAACAGGGAAGGAAGTAGTATGTACTTCCCATGGAAGAAATATTTGTACACTGAAGTGGAAACAAATATTGTGAATAGTAGGGAAAGGAAGGAAGAATTTTTGAAATATATTGTCAAGAAGCAGCAGTGCCACAGACTTGAAACCTTGTAGTTAAAACAAACAAACAAAAAACCAAAAAACTGTTAGCAGGGTAACACCTGGACATATCTCTGCTTAATTTTGTTACTGCGAAGTGACTGGGGTGTTTGTTTGATTTTATTGAAACCAACCTCCTGAAATTTGAGGTCAAAAGAATCAGGATTTGTGGTATAACGTCCAATTCTTACACTCTGCAATGAAAACCTAAAAGCACAGCTTGCTTTTTTTTTTTAAATTGCTATTCAATTTCATTAATAATTTCAAATAGCTGCTTCATTCTAAATCTGTTCAGTGTAGGTTTTTCATAGATGTTGTCATTTCAGACTGTGTTTTGTTTTTTAATTCCTGCTTCTCCATTTTTATCAGTTTTTACCCTTTTTTACTTTGCCATTAAATGTTTCTACTAATAATTAGAAGAATTTTGCAGTTAAGGGAAAACTGCCTTTAACAAATAAAAGCTTGGTATATCATGGACACTTGGTTCAGATTCATTTTTTAATTTGCCTTCTCCTGTTTCAGTGTCATGTGAGTTTTAGAGCAGTAGGTGGTTTTTTACAACTTGTATTCGTGGCAAATCTAGATACAATGGAGGCAAATGCTTGTAAAATACCCCTTCAGCCTTACGGCTTCGGCGTTCATTTATGCTCATGCAAACCTCCTGAGAGTATTGTGTATGTGACCGAAAGCACGATTTGGCCCTAAATACTTAAACATTGAATAAATAAAAGCAGCACAAAGTCCTCTGGAGCCTTTCGGTGGCCAGTGGAGTTTGTGAGGCGGGTACAGGGTGTGTGTGACATCCATCTGAGAGATTGAGAATGTAGGGAATTCATGGAAAAAATCCAGCACCGTGCTGCAAATCCTTAGGGGGAAAAGTCAACCAGCTCCAGATGTTGACATGGTTGACTGCGAGCACATGAAGTGTTGTGGATTTAACTCTTGCAGTCAGAGTGCCTTTTTTTTTTTTTTTTAACCCTCTGGCAACTACCAGGGGAGAAACACATTTTCACTTCTAGAGACAGATGAGATGGTGGGAGCAGTTAAGTTGCGCTGCCAACAGCGTCTATCAGCCTACTAAGAGAGAAGTGTTATTTATTCATTTCATTTTTAATGGGATGAGACAGGAATTCAGTCACTCTGAAAATATTACTTTTCCAACATCTGATCAGTATACTTCTGATAAAACAGAAATAAATTCTTACCATGGACTAAGCTGCCTATGGAATTGTGAAATCAAGCGCTTCTAATTCCCTAAGACCGTCAATCTCATACATTTCTTTCAGAATAAAACAAAACACTTGCAGTTATTAAAACACAAGCAGCACCTTGATTCAATTAAAAATGTTTGAAAGCTTAACTGGTATGTAAGCAGTTAAAATAGAATTTCAGCTTTAGTTCTTAGCCACAGTGGATTTAAATAGCAAAGTGGATCGATTTTATGATATGACCTATGATTTTATCGCTGACTCTGGATATATTTTTATTGTATTGTTTTCCTTGATTAGCCCATAGCTGGTGAAGTGCAGCCCTGCTCAGGACAGACCTAAAGAAATTGTATTCATGGCAGTGTCTTACTAGATTTTTATTTTTTTCTGGGAGGTGTTTTGATGAGGCTCTCCTGTGTTTCTTTAAGATGCTTTCAAATTCTATAAATTCATTCAGAAAGTGCTAGTTGTCTTGCCAAAATACCTGTGGTAGTGACATGCTACAGTACTCCGAATAACAATACCTTGCCTAAATATCTTCCAGAGCTTTCAAAGTGGAGTTACTCATGGTTTGCTTTGCATTCAAAAGTGCACTGATGATGTTTGGGCATCAAGAATGTCATTCAGAAAAATGTCATTAAAGAATCTGACTGCTAAATATAAAGTTCAGTGTGTACAGTTGACTTGTGGGGTCTTCTGTTTCTTTTGTGCCCCACTGGATATAAAAATGTTCTTTGGGGCGTATCTTGTGAAAGTACGACTTGGATATATATTGCACTGCAAGCTTGTCACACAACAGTGGCAGCCTCCTGGCAGCCGGCAGCGTGCAGGCAAATTTCCCGAATGGCATCTCACTCCTCAATGCTGAGGAAGAGCATCAGAAATTCAGTTGAAAAGACTCTTCCAGTCATTTAAATGGGAAAGAAGTGGGAAAAGTAGAGACTGGGAGCAACAGCAGCAGATCACTTAACAGCTGACGTCCAAGCTCTGTGTTACCTTGGGGATGAAATACCTTCCGGAGAGGTTAAATGCTTTTTGTTGTGGAATTGAAGGGGTAGTGCCTGGACTAAGTCTACAAGTATACCCACTGTGTGCTATGAAGGAGTGATGGAAGTCTGACGTGTGTAGCATGGTTGCAGCTTTTCAGGCTGGTATTAAAAGTATGTGTTCAGTCAGTCAATATTTTTGTTAGTTTTTCCTTTTGCAATTTATTCAATGAAGCATTGCAAGGTAGCATGTTTGCTGGACTCACACGGAAGACCTAATTACTGTCAGCCTGATTTAATAGTTTTGAAAGCTTATCACTGTGCCTCTGAACTCTGTGTTCTCTATTTTTATGATTGCATTTGCTATCTTACTACATACCCATACCTGCAGATTTTGTAATAGTTATTCAGCTCTTTTCACCTGCAAAGCATTTTACAGATACTGAATCTTTGTCTTCGGGTGTTATGAACACATCAATTTATAACTAGAATAAGCAAAAATCCTTTGAATGCTTATCATGAATACGAAGAGATACCGTTATACACTAGTCTTACATCTTATCTCTCACTTTGGAAATAGAATACCTCACTCATTCATATTCTGTATCATTCCCCTCTTACAGTAACCCTGTTTGCTTGTAACCCCCTGAAACTCTTCTTAAGCACTAAATTTGTGTTCTAGGAATAAAAAAAAAAAAAATGCAGCCTCAACTGCAACTTTTTATGTTTTTTTGAAATCTCAGGATTTTCAATACGGTAAGCGTGCATTGCCAGGGTCTGTTTGCAAGAGGAAAGGGGAACCCTTAGAAAGCTGTGTCTCTGGCTGCCCACCAGTTGCCTGCAATGAGTCACGAGTGTCTTGTGAACTCTCTTCTGCTCCTATTGCCTTCCTGCTTCTGGCCGTTCCCACTTAGACCCAGCATTCCCCATTGGCTCTCAGCCTCATTTTTTTGCTCTATCTTTGTCCGAGTCGTGTCAGGTGGAGATAGAGATTTCCATAGGTCTAAGGGGGAGCGCTTCGGCATCAATGCAGGACTGAGGAAGAAAGGAAGGGAGACTCTATAGACCTTGTTTCCACCAGAGGTGCTAAGAGGCCTCGCTCATGAACAAATTTTTATTTAACGTTAAATGATCAGTGTTTAATTTCATAGCTAGTTCAGCCAGAAAATAGTTGTAGCATAGACAAAGGGAAGAAATATCACCTTCTTCACCCAGGAAAAAGAGAAGAGTTAATACATCTTTATCTATCTATCTATCTATGGGTGTGTATATCTAAAGTATGTTAAATATTATAGAGTATATTAAAGTACCTGTTACTAAATAGTTAAAATCTGTGATATGTACCCTAGTGTTTGAAGAAATGTCTCCAACTTTGGGAATTCCTATTAAGCCAGATAAGCTTTCTGTTAAATTACACAGTTTGACAGAAACGACAGTTAATTTGTTTTTGGACCAAAGAATAAATGAACACAGATACAAAAGTGATTCCTTGGCTTTATCCTTGTGTAGTCTCGGCATGCAACTACATAATGTTTGATTCATAAGAGTCCAAAAATATTAATAAAATAAGCAGATCAGTTTTTCTTTGGTAACCATCTGAAAATGAAAAGAGTTCAAAAGTGTTATTGCTGCTTCTAGCTGTGCTTGTAGCCTTATTTCCCTTCACTGACTGAAGTGTTCTTGCAGTGAGTTATTTTTGCTTGTGGAGTGTTCTGGTGTTTACAAGAGGTATATTACCAATGGAGTAATAATCCTGGCTTCTTCAGAAAAAAATGTCTATTTCTTCTTACCCCACTCCCTCACAAATTACTTGGTTTGAACATCTCTGGTTTATAATGTTCAGGGAGTTATAGGGTGTTATCAGAGGACAGACTTCTAAGTCAATTAGCAATTAAGGTAAATAATTTTAAACTGCTAGATAAAGGGAAAAATAAAAAGCTTTGCTTATGTCAACTGAGAAACAACAACCAGTAGGCTGCTGATAGTGAATATAAACATCATTTGCCCTCTACATAGCTATTAGAAGCCAGTATACTTGTAGATGTAGTTTTGCTTATCATTCAGTTGTGTTTCAGCCTTACCTGGAGTGCATTGTCTATGTGCTTATGAAGATGCCATTCTTCTCAAAGGGGACATAAGCAAGCAGAATCAAGGAAGCATCTAGGCTGGAAGGGACCTCTGGAGATCAGGTGGTCCAGCCCCTGCGCAAAGCAGGGCCAACTGCAGAGTTAGGTCCAACTTAGAAGATGGATCAAATAGAAACTAAATCACTTTGGGGAATTCAGTGATGGATGTACTTTTGAAAACTGTGTCCTGCACACCTTTGGGCATCGAAGTAGCACATGTGCAACTTACAAGAAAAGGGCCATGCCTTTTCCCAAGACGTTGCTATTTAACATTGATTATTTTTTTTATTTTGTCATCTTAGCATTCCAACAAATTTGGTCAGGGAGACGAGCACGATCACTCAGCCCTTGCACTTCCGCCTGTTGCACAAAATCAAGGGTCAAGAACAATGTTAAACTGAAATCCTGGCAGTATCCAAGCCCAAGAATCTTTTGGTGTCTTGAACGTGCCATAGACTTTTATCTTCATGTGTTGTCCTGTTCATCATCAGGCATGTTCATCACACAGTTATTACTATTATTAAAATTCTCATTATAGGCAACAGCAGTTTTACCTGCTCATTTTTTGTGTTTAAATGGCAGAACTTAAAGGCTTAGTGTCCTTGTTCCTTTCCACCTTTTCCTTTTGAATTTACTTATTTGGGGCATGGGGAGTTTGCAATTTTGTGCTTTAAACTGGATGTGTGCTGGCTTCTTAACTGCTGCATTTCAGGGGGTTTAATGTATATTCTAGCCTGTGAACTTAGGCAGCTCATTGCCAGAGGGAGCAATAATACTTAAATCGTCCCAGCAAGACTGAGGGGGTGGTTGCCAGTGTCCTGAAGGCAAAACTCAAATGGTGCTCAAGAAAGAGATGATGCCAACACAGACTTGAGCAGTGGAGGGTAGGATTTTACCTGCCTGCATAGTAACAACCCCATTAATTTTAAGCAATATGGAATTGCTGTAGGTGAGGTTTCTGCCTGGCCATAGTTGTGATGTGGTGTATAGGAGAATTCCAAGATTCATGATCTGTAAAACAAATATATTGTAATGTAACTGTTTTAGGAGTTACAAGTTTTCAGAAAAATAGGAAATTTCCCATGGGTGTTTTCACATCTTACTAGTCTTTTGGGACAGAGCTGTAAAATGAGCTTTGCTTTTCTTGTCATCATTTAAGGTCAACACGGTCTTTAATTTTTTTTTTCTTTTTCCCTCAGAGGTGTCTCTGCATGGAAAGGATACTGAGCTTTGCTTTAGATAATTACATATATTGGTATATTCTTTGAGTAATGATAGAACTATTTTTTTTCCTCCCATAAGTTTGCCTTAAAGTTAAAAACAAACAAACAAACAAAAAAACCCAAACAAAAAAACAAACACCAAAAAAACCCTTACACTCACCCCCCCCCAACAAAAAAACCTGCAAAAGAAGGACAGATAATGAGAGAATATAAGCTCAAAAGGTGTATTTGCAAATAAACTTTGGAAAGACCCATACAATGGTATGAGGAAGGAAAGGAATTATGGTAATCTTAGAATAAAAACTAATCCTTAAAAAAAAATTAATAGTAGCCCATAGTAGAGGCACACAGATGATAGAACGTGTCTGTTTAGGAAAGTTTGATAAAAATAAAAAAAAATATATAAAGGTATAATATAACATTAAATTGAGAAGGGAACTAACTCTTTTCTTTTTTTTTTTTCTTTTTTTAAACAGTTGGACAGACAGAACATTCCAGTGTAACTTTGAAGGAAGGCACCGAAACTATGGAGACAAGTCCGTCGGACTCAAACACCGAGGACGGCGTAGATGCTGAGAAAGAGGGTGCTCATTCAGTTAAACAGTTGCCGTCTTCGGAAGAAGACGCAGAAGACCTTGACCATGCATCTGAGCCACAGTCTTATGATCTGGGTTTTAAAAAGGTTTTTAAATTTGTTGGATTCAGATTCACAGTAAAGAAGGAAAAGACGGGAAAATCGGAACCAGTTCAACTGCTTACTGTGAAAAAAGAAACACAAGTCCCTGAAGGAGCTGATGATCAAAAAGAAGTCAGCTCAGAAGAAATAGCAATGCCTGAGGATGCGCTCTCTGCAGAAGACAACACCAAAGACACACTGAAAAATGAGAAAACAGAAGACGAATCTCCCAAAACACCAGAAGCAAATGAGATTTGTTCTCAGTCAGCTGCCTTAGCCACTGATACTGCATCGCCATTAAGAAAATTTTTTACTCAGGGATGGACTGGATTTAGAAAAAAGAAGAGTTTTAGGAAGCCTAAAGAAGATGAACTACAGTCTCCTACAAAAGAAGAGGAGCAAGAAAAAGAGGGGGCAACATTAACAACTGAAACAAGTGAAAAGGAGGAGAAATCTGAGTTCGAGAAGCAAGATGAACAGAGGAATGTGACAGCAGTAACTATTGAAGCACATGAGAAGGAGCAAACTGAAGGTGAAAAGCAGGATTCAAAAATGACTGTGGCAGCCATAGGAGTTGAAGCAAGTGAGGAGGAAGAGCTAGTCAAGCATGATGAGCAGGGACAAAAAGAGGATGTAGCAGCAGCAGTTGTTGAAGAAAGTGCGAAGGAGAAAAAAGCTGAAGATGATGGTGAAGAAAGGAAATTGGTGGAAGTCTCAGAAGATCTTGGTAAAAAGGAAGAAAAAACTGAAGAAGGAGAGAAGGAAAGTGAGGTGACAGAGAAACCACTAAAAACAAGGTCAGTGGTACCTGTTACCACTGACAGTGTGAACGAAGAATTGAAAACATCCTCAGAAGTCCTACCTGCAGGAGAAAAACTGGAGTCAACGGAGAAGTGTGAAATAGATGACAGAACTGAAATACCCTCTGAAGAGAAACTTGAAGCAGGATCTTTGGCAATTGAAATTTCTAGTGAACAGCTTAAAAAATCTGAAGGAAGAGAAGGAGGTAAACCTGCTCCACTGGGGAAAAAATCATTTGATGAAAAAACAGAGGAAGCAGAATTGAAAATGTCACCCACAGCAGAAGACATCACACAAGGAGAAGCTCCGGATAGAACCACAGAGAAGAAGGAAAGCAAAGAACATGAGACAAAACTGACTCTGGATGCTCCTGGATTGAAGTCCTTTTCTACTTCTGAACATTCAGTTGACACAGAGGATGATCAACAGTCAATCAAACCCACTGATGAAGGACTCCAGGGAAAAACTGACATAGTTGTGACTGATACTATCAAACCAGATGAAACAACCATGGAAATAACTCCTGAAGAGGCAGCTGGAAAGAGGCCTCCAGAAGGTATCACAAATGAAGCTGAACTGCTGTCTTCTCAAGAAAAAACTAAACTACAAGGCAGCCCTTTAAAGAAACTATTCACGGGTACTGGATTAAAAAAACTGTCTGGAAAGAAGCATAAAGGCAAAAGAGAAGAATCTAAGTTAGGGGAACAGGGTGAACCAATGCAGCACTTATCAGATTCCCCAGATAGCCCAGAGGAACAAAAAGGGGAGAGTTCTGCTTCTTCTCCTGAGGAAATGAATGAAATTCCTTCTTTGGAAAAATCTGTTGATGGAATGCAGGTCACTGAAAATGAAGATGCTGCAATTTCAGATGTGGAGCGAAAAAGAGAAAGTGTTACACCCTGGGCATCGTTTAAAAAGATGGTGACTCCCAAGAAACGTGTCAGAAGACCTTCTGAAAGTGATAAAGAAGAAGAAATTGATAAGACAAAGAGTGTTGCAGTGTCTGCAACTGAAAACGCTGTTGATGAAAATCAGGGAGAAGTAAAAGAAAATGGGATGGACCAGAAACCAGACAAAACCACAGAAGAGCCCAAAAGAAAGGTTGACACCTCTGTGTCCTGGGAAGCTTTTATATGTGTAGGTTCTTCAAAGAAAAGAGCCAGGAAATCATCATCATCTGATGAAGAAACTGAACATAAGCTTGGTCAAGAAAGTGAAAAAATAGAGGAGTCTGGACAGAGCAAAGAAACAGCAACAGATGCAATTCTTACTAGCTCTCAGGAGAGCGATCAAGGACAAGGGAATTCTTCCCCAGAACAAGCTGGAAGCCCATCTGAAGGTGAAGGTATTTCAACATGGGAATCATTTAAAAGGTTGGTCACTTCAAGAAGGAGATCCAAAACCAGAATGGAAGAGAGAACTGAAGACTCTGTTGTGGGATCTAGCCTGGAACATTCAACATCGGATGGTGAGCCTGGAAAAGATGAATCGTGGGTTCCATTTAGAAAACTGATGGCTGGGCGTAGGAAGAAAAAGTCAGATGGAAAGCCAGAACCAACTCATCTTAAACAAGCAAGAGATGACATGGCAGAAACAACAGAAGAAGATTCAGATATTCCAGCTGTCGTTCCTTTATCTGAATACGAAGCAGCAGAGCAGGAGAAAATTGAAGCCCAACAAGCAAAAGATGCTGAAGCGATGAGAGAACGAGCCTTAGAGGAAGAGAGAGCAGAAAAATTAGAGGAGACCCTAAGAATTGAGCAAGCACATGAAGGGCTGGTACATGCAGTTACTGTTACTGTTGTGGAAGGGGAAAGGGCGGTTACCAGTATTGAAGAAAGGTCACCATCTTGGATATCTGCTGCTCTGACGGAGTGCATTGAGCAGGCAAAAGAAGAGGAAGAGAAAGAAACTGAGAAAACATTTGAATCGGATGTCATTGTGGAAGAAGCAGTGGTAGCTGCTAAGACAGTTGCAGAGACGGGAAAGGATATAAGTGATGACACCACAGCAAGTGAGCTAGAGCCATCCTCAGAAGCAGTGACAGCTCTGGAGGAGACAGCAGGAGCTTCCTGCGCTGAAGAAACAATGGAAGTGTCCCTTGCTGAGGAGACAACTGAGATGGTTTCTGCTGTTTCGCAGTTGTTAGAAACCCCAGATACTACAGAGGAAGTTACACCTGTACAAGAAGTAGAGGCCACTGAACAAAATTTGAAAGAATTAGACAAACAGACGCAAAAAGTTCTTCACGAAGTTGCTGAAAGAGTGAAGTCAGCAGATGTAGCACAGCTGGTTAGTGAGAGAACCATGACAGCAACTATAATTACAACAGTGCAAGGAATTGAGTCAGAAGTGAAAGATGATGCTAAAGATGGGCAAGTTGTAGGCCAGGAAACTCTTTTGCTTGAACAGTCCTTGAAAAAAGGCGAGCACAAGGAGGATGGCCTCCAGCCCCAGGGAAGTGCAGGGAGCATTCAGGGCCAAAATGGAGTTGAAGAGAGTCTTCTACATGAAGGTTCAGTGAGAAGTGAAATATCTGCTGCAATGAAAGCAAGCACAGAAGGATGTGAAATTGTAGATGTATTGAGAGATGAAAGCCAGTGGCAGGCATGTGAAGTACCAGAGGAAGAAGACGACGAAGAAATATCTGAAGTTCGGAGGACAGTAGAGGAACCTTCATCACATGACAGGGAGTTTCACAGCATCAAAGCAGTCACTCCCACGGAAGAGCTGTTTGAAAAGCAGGAGTCTTCAGAACAAGAGAAACTGTCCGTAACAGGGTTGACAGCAGATGAGACAAGAGATGAATGTATTCCAGAAGTACCGACTGCAGTGAGTATTACATATAACACAAAGGTTGATTTGTCAAGGAAAAAAATCAGCAAGTGTTAGACATATCTAATTTAGAACCAGGTTGTGGCAGTATTGCTGTCAAGGACCTTCCGTGTGCAGCCTGAGGCAACTGAAGTTCATTTCCAGTGAGACACACACACACAGGTGTCCAGAAGCAGCAGCCACTTGTGCTTGTGTGAGGTGGATGCAATTCCTACAGAAACGGAGTGGGAGATGGTGTGCATGGATCCCACGGTGCTGAAACAATTGCCATTAGGGCTCCTGCACAGCACATTGTGACTGAAAATAATAGATGAACATCTGAGATACATATGTGATCCATATTGTACCATACATAGTGGATGGTATCTTCAGTTGTAGGCAGAGATACAATTGTAGCTGAGGTACCTCTGCAAAGAAATGAAATGACGCCACTATCTCCAGCTTTAAACACACAGGAGTTACTGTGGCTGTGTTCCTACCTTCTTCCCTACCTCCCCACCATCTTCCTGGCTTAGTCTGTGTTTCAAGTGCTGTCGGCTGTCCCTTGCTTTAGGCTGCTCTTTGTTTAATGAGCTGCGTGTCCTGAGCACAAGCTGGGTCTTAGTGACCCACTAATCTCAGTGTCATCACCTCATGTTCTTCCCATAACCCTCCTCCTTTTGGTCATTTCTTCTGGTGCTTTTTCACCCAGAAAATTCCTGGTCGCTCTCTGCTCACACCCTTTTTCACAGGTCTGTTGCAATTCTCCACAGGTGCAGGACAAGACAGAGGATGAAACCTCTTCCTTGGGGCTTACAGCTGAAGAGCCTGTGCAGCTTGAAGGAGAGGGCGAAACCCTCACCACGGGACCAGACTGCACAGAAGCAGTTGTCACTGTGGTCCCCGTTAAACCTGAAAGGCAAGACGAAATTCCTGACTTAGACTCACAAGAGCAAGCTTGTACTAAAGATGTTCCTAGCAGGGCACCTGCCCAGAGAGAGGAAGAGGAAGATGATGCTTTGCTCCTTGGAGTAAAAAGCACAGAAGTCACTGTTGCTGAGGTTCCACTGCAGAATGGGGTAAAAACCTCTGCCCTTCTTTCAGAAACAATTGGCTCAGAAGCAGCTGCAGATGCTGAGCAGAGTGTGAGGGATGGTGCTGGCAGGCACATTACAGGAAAGGATTCTGTGCCCATCCTAGAGCCACAGTGCAGAGAAAAAGCAACTGAAACACCCTCCCAGAGTGATGAAACTGAAGGTTACAAGATGGAAGATGCTATGCTCAAAACTGAAACACACTTAGAGAGTGATACCACTGCCACTGAGGCTCCCACGCAGATTGAAGCAGACAGCGTATCTAATTTAGCATCAGCATGCCCAGATATCTCTGAAAATGGAAATGCTGTCCTCACTGACCTAAGTCCTAAGAAATGTGAAACACCAAGCAGCTTAGCTGAAGAAGAGACTGTGGCAAAAGAACAAGAACTTGTAGAAACCTCTAGCTGTCAAGACTTTCAGAAAGAAGGTAACAAAAATGAGCAATTGATGGAAAGAACCAAAGAAGTATTTGAATCTGGAAAACGGGAAGCTGTGAGAGGTGATGAATGTTCAGCTGCTGTCCAGCAAGAGGTTTTAACCGTGCAAGAGGAAGGCTCTGACTCAGCTTTCCTACAAGCTGAAGGCTTGGAGGCTCTGAAAGCGCCTGTGCCTGTAGCAGCTGCAGCAGTTGAAGATCATGTCATGGCAGAAACCGTAATGCCCGCAGACACGACAGCCGAAACTGTACAGCTCTTGGCAACCACACCAAACCAAATGGCTTCTGAAGAGGTCCCAGCTACTACTGTTGACTATTCAGGCTGTGGGACTGCAGAGCTTGGTAGTGCAGAAGCACCTGGGCCTCAAGTAACTTCTGTTTCCATGAATGGAATATCAGAGGAGCAAGAGAGGCCCCAGAGTACAGGGCAACCTGAACAAAATGGTGTTCCTCTAAGTGACAGTCTGTCTCTCACCCACATGGAATTTGAGAAGGATGTTGTTCAGTCTGTGACTATAGAGTCCCAGAGTACGAAAATTGTATTGAATGCCATCCAGACGGCTGTTCACAAACTTGCAGAAACAGAGGAGTCAGCTGCCTTTGAGTCAGAGCAGTGCATTAAGTCCATAGGGAAAAGCCCATCAGATACAAATATACCTGAACTTTTGGAAAGTACGCAGGTGGATCGTCAACTTCCAGTAAAAGAGCAAGAGATATGGAGTAAAGAACAAGAGCTCCAGCAATCAGGAATAGTGAAAACTGCTACCTTAACAGAGTCTGCAGAAATTCATGTAACTGTAGAAAAAACAAAAGACATGCTGTTAACTTCTGAGATGCTGAAAGATGAACAAAGTCAGAATTCTTTAACAATTGTGACTGGCCCTGAAGACATTTCAAGGGAAAGTGTGAGACTTCAGAAATCAATACTAGAACTAAGTACTTCAGAAGATTCAACCAAAGACCCTCTAGCCATACACCCACCAAAATTAAGGGAAAAAGAAGTTGGGCAGATTATGGAAATCCCAGACCAACATACAGGTCAACAAACATGCAGAGAAAGTGAGGAAGAACAACATCACCCGCCAGTGGAAGATGGGAAGACACAGACATGGGAGGATGATAGTTGCCAAGAAGGAACATCTTGTGATACTTCACAAAGTCAGAACTTAGTGGCTCCTGAGGCCTTGAATGTAAGTAGCATTTTTAGCCAGCAATTTCTTTCTTTTTCCAAAATAGTGTTGGGGGTCTCTCAAACTGTTGTGTCTCTAACTTTTTTTTTAATTCTGGTGAAAGGCAACTGCTCCCCAGTTTAACCAACAGGCCACAAATATTTCCCCCCCCACACTTTACTGCCTCTCTCTGTGGCTGGTCAACACCTTGTTTCCTTTCTGTACAGCTACCCCTAACTTAATTTCCTTTGACTTGGCCTGTAGTTTAGGATGATATTTCTGGGAGGTAGAAAACGTGGTTTCTTATGGCACGTGCTTAATGTATGGGACTTAATCCGCAAACACGCTTCCTCTCTAACAAAGGTCTTTTTAAAATCCCAAAGCCCAACATACAGGTCAACAAACATGCAGAGAAAGTGAGGAAGAACAACATCACCCGCCAGTGGAAGATGGGAAGACACAGACATGGGAGGATGATAGTTGCCAAGAAGGAACATCTTGTGATACTTCACAAAGTCAGAACTTAGTGGCTCCTGAGGCCTTGAATGTAAGTAGCATTTTTAGCCAGCAATTTCTTTCTTTTTCCAAAATAGTGTTGGGGGTCTCTCAAACTGTTGTGTCTCTAACTTTTTTTTTAATTCTGGTGAAAGGCAACTGCTCCCCAGTTTAACCAACAGGCCACAAATATTTCCCCCCCACACACTTTACTGCCTCTCTCTGTGGCTGCTCAACACCTTGTTTCCTTTCTGTACAGCTACCCTTACTTTAATGTCCTTTGACTTGGCCTGTAGTTTAGGATGATATTTCTGGGAGGTAGAAAACGTGGTTTCTTATGGCACGTGCTTAATGTATGGGACTTAATCCGCAAACACGCTTCCTCTCTAACAAAGGTCTTTTTAAAATCCCAAAGGATGAGTGTTGCCTTCCATGGTAAACCTGGAGCACCTCATGTACCAAAGCTCTTTGCGCTTCAGTGAAATCTGAATCAGAAATGATAGGTGTAGTCTCTCCCTAGGATATTTACTGCACTTGCTTAACTAAGTCATGAGATCTTTATTTCTATCTTTGAGAACTCCTTGGGAAAATAAGATATTCTTGAGAGAGTAAGTTGTCATAAATAAAGCTTTTTTTTACTGTTGTCTTTCTTTCAGATGTGCTAAGCATCCATAGGAGAGATGCCAGTCCTAGGGAACAACTGACAATCCTGTGATAGAACCAGGAGCTTTATTCACTACACTTTATTCTTGGATGTTAACATCTGCTCTTTTGAAGACCTCACCTTTTGTGTTATTTCTATTAAAAAACAATGCCTTTAATGTTGGCTATATCTACACGTGTGTTCTGTTCGAAGGTCATTTGCCTCTGCCCAAAATATACCATTTAGACTGGAGATGTACAACTGAGTGAATGGACAGACCACTAAAATTTGTGCCCTAGTTATTACCATCCCCTCACTTAACGTGTGTCCTGTCCATCCCATCTCCTTGAATCCCTCCACTCATCCCTGAATCCCCCGGCCTTCTTTCTGCAGTCTCCCTTACCCTCCGCATCTTCTGTAGCTGCCTTGATTTGACCTACGAGTGGCCATAGATGCTGTTTGACTTGTGTGTGAGGGGGAAGAGGAGGGCTGACTGATGAGAACATGAGACTTCTGGCCGAATAGCAGACGTGTCTTTATCAAACAGCAGGAACTGGATCACGCACAAATTCTTGAGCAAGATGCTCGAGATTGCTGCCTTTCAGTCCCATTCAGGTATCTCTATCTGTCCTTCAGTTGTATTTGTGCAGGCCTGATTTAGTTGGAAATTACTTCCACAGTCTAGCTTGAAGGGAGATTGAGAATGCCCTTTTTCTGTTGTTCCAGACTTCAGGTCTCAGGACTGGACTGTAATGTGTTGAATATTTATATGTATGTCTTAAACCCAGTTCTGATTTTAATGTAGAGCTATGATACTTCTGTACCATTTAGGTGTATCCTTAAATGAATTTTGTAGAGTAGCCTGGAGAGGAAATTGATACCATTGGAGTGGAAATTGATAACATGTAGTTTCCTATTTATTGTTCCAGGTTTTTCCCCTTGTAAAACTCTCAAAAACTTGGCTGTCTTGCTTTGAATATTTATATGTATATTCTAAACCCAGTTCTGATTTTAATGTAGAACTATGTTATTTCTAAACATAAAAGGAGAGCCCTGGCCTGTGTCAGATCCACCGATCACTTCTACTTGCAGTCCCTGGTTTCTGAGAACCCTCCAGACTTACCCTTTCCCTGATGTCTTGCTCATGTAGCAACCCCAGTGGTACCACAACCCTCAAATTGCACCCACCTCATTCCTGAGTCTGCTCATTTCTGGTTGCTGCCCCATCCACCCGCAAGCCTTTACCCACACCTACGCCATCTAACATCCTTCCTGCAGACAAGCTTCCTCCTTTCCCAACCCCTGCCTGAACCTCCTTCCCACCACAGCATCTCCTGAAATCCTCCCTGCTCCTATCAATTCCCTGTCTTCACTGAGGGGGGAGTAGGAAAGAGGGTAAGGGCTTGGTGATGAATTCTGCCTTGGATTGCAAAAAGCTGATGAGACCTTTGGGGTGCCGAGATCTTAAAAACCTTCATGTAAGGTGGATTGGACTCACAACAGCTGTAGACCAGAATGAGCAGGGTGATTTAACAATGGAAAGAAGCCCCAAGACTGAGAATCCTGGGATGTCTGTCCCCAACAGGAGTCAGTCCTCTCTTTTGTTGTTTACATTAAAATCAAACACGGGGTACAAGTCCGTACTTTCTGCTCTGATTTCTAAAGTGAAGGTTACAGATCGCACTTTGTGAAACCAATGCCCATCAAGTTGAACAATAGCTCACTATCCTACCTGTATAGTAATTTATTTTAAAATCAACTTTTAGTGTACAAATGCTCTTGTTATGGCGGGTGCTTGCCTCTCCTCGAGGCTGCACGTACAGCAAGCAATGTGACTGATTGCACTGGTGTGATTGCACCATCTGGTGCTGCCCTGCGTGGAAGCATCAAAAGATTTTTCGTTACCTCAGAGCAAATTTTATAAATATTTAAAGCCGAACAATGTGGTTTCAAACAATCCAGTCTATCTCTGTCCATTGTTAGCGGCAGCTTTCCCCCTTAGCTTTGGGCAATTCCAACAACCTCGGTTGGTTTCCACAGGTTTAAGTTGGCTTGCAAGTTAATCATGCTCTTAATAACACCTCACAAGTGCAAACTTGGCTGAATTTGTACAAACTGTATACCTATGTACGTTAAGCCATATTGCAATAACTGCAGCAGGTAAAACGAAATAACAATAGCATGACCTGTGTACTCCTCATTCTTATGTTTGTAGCTCCAAAGCTGTTAATAATATGTAAAGTTAATTCTTGTCTGAACCTCATTTAAATAAAGCTAGCTTTACCACAATGTAAATTGTCTGTTGGTAGTAATTGAACAGGCGAGTGCTTAAACTTGCCTGTTTTCTCCATTAATCCAGGGCCTAGGTAAGCAATGCAACAAACTTAACTATAAAACAAATACAAAAGCTTCTTCTTATAACTGACAGCTAAAAAAATGCTGCACCCGAAACCACGCTAATGGTGCAAGGAGCATGCCTCCACATAAAGATACTACTTTGTTCCAGCGTATTGCTTTGGCCTCTGAAACTCTCATTTGAGACTGTGACTTCTGGCTTGTGCTTAAAAGCTTGAAGCTTTCTCTGATCCAATGTATTGGGTTACCAAATTTGATTTGTGTTTTTAAGGTAGATTTTCATTGATTAAATAAAATACAACTACAAATTTCTTCTAACGTGTGTATGTGGTGTTTTTTTCAGCTTGCTTAGTGTAAATTACTTTCTGATGGTTGCTTCATCTTCGGAGAGTTAGATTTGCTCCTGACAATTCATTTGTGGTTGGCTGACATTCAGCTTTTGATATGAATTAAAGCAACTAATTACAGAATTAAACTGCAATTTGGTTGTAAGTTTCTATAAAATACGCATATTTCAGAAGAAGTAATAAGTTATTTCAGAAGACTGTGAAGAAAAAAAAGCCTCCATTAAATTCAAGATAGATAACCGTATTCAGTGAGCCAGAATGAAAAATTAGTAAATCATATGCCTTGCCAGTGTAACTGAAGTATATAAAAAAAAAAAAACAGCAAAGCAACAACATGAATGTCCACAAAAAAATTGGCATAGAGTAGTAGATTGGGGACCTTAGGCCCATAACTGGTATCTTCTAGACTCCCTCACTTCTGCTTAGCTGGGGTATACTCCTCACGGCACCGAATATCCGGAGGTGCTTGTGATTTATGTTGACAGACCTTGGACTTCAAACATGAAATTTTTCCAGCCATTTATGTTCTATGGATGGCTAAGGATGTTTAGCAACATTTGTATCTCAAAAAACTTGCATAGATTCACACCTGAACTCATTTTATAAAGCTACACGTTTTCCTGTCTATCTCAGCTAAGAAAATACTGCTAAATCCAGTATCTGCAAATAGTTACCTGCACTGGTCACAGCAAATGCAGGGATGTCGAAACACTGCAGGATGCCCGTCCCTCTTCTTGCTTTCATATTGCGTCAGGGGGCTCATACTGCAGGTGGCTGATCTCGCTGCCCAGCTCTGGCATCTGGAGGTATGGATCCAACCAGCATCTCCCACCAGACTGTGCTCAAGGCACACAACCTCTGCCAGTCCTTTTGCAAGGTTTAGGCATTTATACTATCCTGTTACTGGTTAACATGAAGTCCCTAAACAGGCATCAAAGGAGGGACTGGAGACCAAGCCTCTTGCATCCCAGGAGGGATTGTGTGCTGTTTTCTCTTTTGTAAGGTTGTTTTATTGGCAATAGCTCAAGTATCCTGCCTATTAGCTCAAGCTATGGAAGCAGATCTGGCTTTCCCATTCAGATCCACAGCATATGGGAGGCAGCTGTGCTTGTTGAGGAACCTGCACAGCTTGGATACAGCAAGTGCCTGGGGATGGGCAGGCGGCTTGCCAACTGCACAAAAGGATTCCTGACACGGTCATTTCTGGATGCCGAAAGCTGGATGTTTGTCATTCACACTGCCACATGGGAGGGGAGCAGGCTGGAGGAGGCTGATGGCCCTGCAAGGAAGGATATGGTTTGGAATGAGGAGCAGTGTGGAACGAAGGCCTGTGGGATCGGCAGCACAGGGTTTGGAGTCCTGAGTTCAGGGAGATGGATGAGGTGTAGTAAAAGAGGGTAACTTTTAGCTCTGTGAACATTTTAAGACGCTGCGAACAAGATGGAAGCTTGGCCACCACAATATTGACATCTAACTTAGGGCTGATGTCATTTCTAGTTGGACACTAAATGGAGTCTTTACAAAAATGAGAATGAAAGATAAGACTGTAGTAAAGGCCCATGGCTGTTCTGCTCCAACATCTTCTTGAAAAAATAGTATCAACTCTTTAAAATTGGAGGAATGTTTTTAAGAAGTGTCTCCTGTTCCTCCTTGAAAATGACATCCGTTTCCAGAGCTTGAAAAACCC